TATAAACGAACCTGAAGTGGGAACCGAAGAAGTAGCCTTCTTCTCAACTTTCCACTTCAGTCTAAGTGGCCAGGGACCACTGTCCTGCATCGGGCCTGTCAGTACACACGCCTGATCCACCCCCGCCAGGCTCTCAGCCCCAGACGCTACACCCAGGCCCCCTCGACCCCGGACGAGTCCCTGACAGTACTGGAGCGGATGGGAGAAGGGTAGGAGAGTGACGGAAGGGTGGAGGTGTCATGAGGAGGAAGAGGAGGAGTGTGAGGAGGAGGGTGGCGAGAGGTGTAGTGTTCAGTCCAAGGTGAGGACCGGAGCGGACAAGGATAAGGTAGGTGAAGGATGGAAGGGTGGAGGTGGCATGAGGGGTGAGGAGTGGTGTGGTGTCAGGTCCGAAGGTGAATATCGGAACGGACGGTGGTAGGGTAGGACTCCGGAGGTGGTGGAGATGGAGGTCCGGGAGTGTCAGGGACCGGTCTGGGGTCGAGAGTGTCCGGGTATATTGCCCAGCACTGAGGGCCTGGTGGGGTATGAAGCAGGCACGTACAGCAACGGGTCCGGCACAGGCAGATGTCCCTGAAGTGGGAATGGTGAGAAGAAGACTGCTTCTCTGGTTCCCACCCCGGGTATGTTTATATACGTGGTGCTTGGGTCACATGAGAGTTGCCACATCGTCCCCATGCACAGCCCCAGCCACCTGGGTATCCCTGTGGGGAGGCACACGTGCTGAGTGCACCCGGGGGTCGTCTGGAGCATCCGGGGCTGGGTGCATCATGCGTGGGTCCCAGGCAGGTCAGTGGTACATCGATCAAGGAAAGTCATCCGTGTAAATAGAAATAGAAAGAATAGAGAATGATACAGAGAAGATACAGGAAGAGGGGAAAGTGGAGGGAGGAGGAAATAGGAAGGGGGAGAAGGGGGTAGTGGGTGGAGTGGAGCTGGGTGGAGCCAGGTGGAGCCGGGTGAGGCAGGTGTGCCCTGACAGGGAGTCAGATTGGGATCGGGTATGTACGGACATGACACTGAGGTGCCATCAACTACAGTACAGGTCTTATATATAATAGAGGACAAATGGGAACAAAGGGGAAAACCCAAGGGGGACTTACCCACTTGCCGGGTCAGCGAGCTCGTGAGAGAATTGCCTTATTGGGCATTGTGGAGTGGGTAGGTGAAGGGTGGAATTAGTGACAGCTACTAGAAGTGGGAAAACCTTTGCAGAGTGAGCGGAGGTCCTAGGAGCCCTGTAGTAATATTGGGTAGATAGAAATATTAATAAACGTGTAGGATGAGGATAAGAGGTACCGGAGAAGGTACCGGAGATTGGAGGCGGAGGTGAACCAGAGGTGAACCGGAGGGTATAGCGGAGGTGCGGGGGGAGGACGAACCGGAGGTGGACCGGAACAGTGGCAGAGTGGAGTGGAGGTGAGGCGGAGTTGGTATGGATGTGACAGACCCCTCTTCTGTGCTACAAAGACTGTGGTGTTGAGCGACCCTTCCATATGTTTAAAGAGCTTAGTTTGATTCCCTGACAATGTAAGGGGGCAAGGGATCTACCACCCTAATGAGAAAGAGAGGGGGCCAAGTGTTGGGAATGCTTGGGGGAGGTTCGGATGATGAGGAGGGGGGGGGAGAAATGGTCTGGGTGTGATGTGATAAAAATGATAAACTCGTAAATCTCACTAATAATCAAACTAATGGGAACTCTGTCCCTGCACTATGTCTTCAGCCTCTTTGGCTTCGTATTCACCACTCTGGGCACTGGTAACGTTTGCTAAAACTTGATGTTCGTGTTGGGGAGCACCTCTCTGTTGGGGGAGTCCTTTTTGTAAAATACAGGAAAGAGGGTAACTATAAATATGAAAGAAATACGTGGAAATCCGAATGATCCGACGGGTTTAGGACGGCAACAGATCCACAAGGAACAAATAAGAAAAAAGCAATATCAAAGAAATATTCACGTTGTTAAGGAAATAAAGAAACATGGTGGTCGGACCAACCGCTGAACCAAATGCGTCACTAGTAACATCGTTCGACTCGTGTTGACAAGGGCTTTCCAACGATACCAAATTCGTCTGGATCGGTGGAGAATTGATGGAGATATGGAGGAAGCGGCGGAATATGCGGGTGACAGTTGCCCAATTTGGAAACTGATGGTCAGGAATGGCTTGAAAAAATCAGAAAGAATATGTGAAACATGGAAGGGGTATCTGGAACAATGATAGATGTGCTTTGGGAGTGGGGTGCTTGACGTGGGTGGTAGAATCGTGATAATTGGCTCGTTTGTGCAGTACCAGCTGTGCCCACCTACAATGTCCGGCCCTACCGCCCAGATGGGATCGCCGAACGACCCACCGACCCCCGCCCAGGCCCCGAAATCATAGATGGAGGAGAAGAGTACGAAGTCAAGAAGGTCCTCAACTCCCGCTGGCACCACAGAAAGCTCTGGTATCTAGTGAAGTTCACAGGCTGGCCAAACTCCAAGAACAAGTGGCTCCCTCGCAACAACCTGGCCAACACGCGTGACTGGATCAAGGAATTCCACAGAGCACACCCAGACGCCCCAGGCAGAGAGCGAGAAAACCCCCTAGCCACTTCGAGGCGAAGCAGCTTAAGGAGGGGGTGATGTCAGGGCATGCCGCTCCACACTGCACTGCACCCTCCCATTGCTCCTCTTTCCTTCTCCCCCTTTCCCTTTCTTCTTTCCTTCCTTTCTTTATATGGACAACCTCTCCTCTTACCTGTGTAGCACGGATGCATCCAACGCTGAGTACTCCATGTGGGTTACCATGCTGCCGGACATGCCACACATCCTCACTTGTACTTCTTTCCTCTGACACTCAGGATTGCCCACAGAGCCACTGCGATAGCCCGGCTCTGCCTGGGCTGACGTGGCATCCCCACATGATGTTAAACACTGGTCCGGGGTCGGCACCGAAGGTCACCAATGCGGGCCGCTATTGGCCGCAATGGCCGTGATGCCTTGAACAAGGCCCAAGGGTAGGGCTTTTGGCCTCAGCAACTCTAAAGGGAGTGCTGTGCCCCCTAGCCGTCTCTTGGCCCTCATTTCAGACTCACTGGGGTTGCCTTGTTGGGGTCAGGACTTAGGGGTCGTGGTCACATCGATATTAGAGCTAAGGTACAATAAAGTATCATACAGGATATATATAGGAGGAAGAAATGAATGGAAGCGGACCCAGGCCGGAGGCCGAAGGGTCCGGAAGCAAACAAGAATAAGGAGCGGGGCTGGCTGCATAGCGGCCGGCAATGACCGAGGGTCAAAACAAACAATAACAGATAAATAAAGGAAAGAGTGTAGGGCCGCGATAGCGGCGATGGTATCGTAGTGTCAGGGCACACACCCTGACTAGCCCGGACCCGCACCCGCATGTGCGCTCCGCCCCGCATGCTCCGTGCACCGCATGCTCCGGGCCCGGTTCCCACTCTTCATGTGACTTCCGGGTATCCCCGGAAGTTTTCGCCATATTGGGCCACTGTGGGAAAGTGAGAAGTTAACCTTCTTCTCACTTTCTTACCCACAGTAGCTATGCCCTGAGATGGGCTGTGTTTACAGGCCAGACTGTGGACTGTAGAGAGGGGTCATGGGGACCCGGGGTCCGTCCCCTGACACGTAGCGGTGCTGGACTCAGAGTTGGGCCAGAGTCGGGCGCAGGGATGATAGCAGCCCTGTAGGGGCCAAGTGGGCAGTGTAGGGGAGTCGCGCTGGGCATGGTGCCGGAGGCGAACTCAGGGTGGGGAGGTTGGTTCAGCAGTGGGGGAGTCGGCCAAGTGTAGGGGAGTGAGCAGGGAGTCCTCAGGGAGGATAGGGCTGAGGTTGGGGCTCGTGCTCATGCTCGCATAGCGGGAATGGGCTCGGGCGGCATCGGGACAGGCAGGGAATGGGCCGGAGTGCACGGCCATGACACATGACCCATTCCTGCCTGTATATAAACCGAGCCATGTCAGGATCCGGACCCCAGCTGGGAGTGGCTGGAGGGCGAGACCGGGTGTGGAAGCTGGGGTACTCTCCCCAGCTGCTAACTCCTCAAAGTTGCTGAGGGGACTAGCCTCAGCCTTCACAGGGAATGAGCTGAGAAGAAGGGTAAGCTTCTCAGCCCCCTGTGAGGCCGACACAAAAGGACCCTAGGAACTATACAGTTCCCGCTTGCTGCCGACTTTCCATAATGGGTGCAGCCCATGGGAAAGTTCTGGGCAAGCTGCTCACCCAGAATGTTCCCACGGTCACGTGTCCTAGGCGAGTTACTCTCCCAGAAAGTTCCTGTGGCTGTGGCTGTGCATTTCTGGGCAAGTCACTTGCCCAGAACGTTCCCACAGGTCCGCACATGCGCATCATTGTGTGAAACAGTGGGGGGCAGGATAGGGGGAATGGGGAAATGTGGGGAGAGGGTGGTTAGGGAAAGGGTGGGGGTGTCTGAGGGTGAGTGGGGTCAAGGGCTGTGCCCTGACAAGCCAAAGCAGAACTGAAGTAGCCTTCTTCTCACTACTGCTTCAGGCAAGTACCTTAGTCTAGCTTAGTTTAGTTTAGCCTTTCATTCTAATAACCAGATAGGGACGCAGGCCCGAGTGAGGGCCACTCGCCATACATTCCCACTACTCCACCACCACCCAGGCCGCTAGCGCCGGGGGCTACGCCACTACCCCTGCCTCTCCTGTACCATCCCTGACACAATGGTGCCAACTGCAATCAGAGTGGGTTGTATAACATCAGGGCTTGCAAGATCATTGGGAACAAGCCATGCGAGATCTGGGAACTCAGTCCCATGTATTGAATGTTTCAGGATACGTGCCCCATAGACCAGGTCTTGGCGGTCAATTGGGAGTGATATATCTTGAAATTGTTCTCATTGAAAACCTAACACATTTTGCATTTTAGGTCACACAATTGTGGGATCCATTGAGCCTGACATTGCTAGGAAGGTAACATTGGAGGGAACCAGTGCCTGGAGGGTACCAACGGATTTGTACACTTCTCAGAAACTTCATGACCAAGGTATGACTAGGTGAGCTTCATCAATCACACAGAATCCCAATTTATTTTTGAAGATCCTAGACCCAAGCAAGGCGAGTGTGTTTATTCTTTCTGGGGCACATCCTATAATGTCATACATCCCTGACATTACTTCCTTCCAGAGGTCGTGGGGAGGTTCACACTGCAGCGCCTCCATGCATGACTCCTCATGCAGTGCTTAGGGCTCCTAGCGGATCGGATGATCTGTGGATATCCGCAACCGCATCCGAAAATTCACGGATCCGGTTTTGGATTTTCAGAGGAAAATATCCACAGTTTTTAATCCACGGATTTGCGGATTATCTGCAGTTTTATCACATGATTTATTGCTTGCAGATATGCAGGAGATCCGAGGCAAATAAGGGTGAAATTCCCCATATTTACTGTAACTCCTACTCTACTGTGGCTTTTGAGAGGATAATATCCGCGGTTTCTAGTCCGCAGATAGGTGGATTATCTGTGGATTAAATATATCCCACTTTCCTAGACACCCCTCCTATGTTTCCATATTTCCTCCCAATTTTTTCAAGTCCTATCTAACCACCCAGGCCCGTTATTTCCAAATTTGGCATCTGACACCCATCTTTTGTGCCATTTTCCCCATATCTCTGTCAGTTCTCCACCAATATGGACATATTTGGTATTGTTAGAAAGCTCTCATCAGGGCCGTTCTAATTTTGGAACGTATTATCTATAATCCGCGGTCGATCCGCAAATCCGTGGATTTCTAACCGCCGGATACGGTTTTTGTTTCAAACCTCTAAAAATCCGCGGATTCTGATCCGGATCCGGACTGACCCGATCTGCTAGGAGCCCTAGCAGTGCTAGAAAGTGCATTCCTTTAGCACATGCATTCAGCTCCAGATGAATCATTGTTAGTGTCAGGGCCCGGCCTCGGACTCGGAGGCTCCCTGACCTCAACCCCCATCTAACCTGTCCTCACACTATGCGGGGCATGAGATGTATAGTAAAAGAAAGGGAATATATACACTTGCCTATGCGGGGCATGAGATGAGAAGAAGGGTAAAGGTCTCATCTCCCCGCATGGTTGCTATATAAAGGAATGGGTCACATGCCCACAACTATACAGCTCCTAGAGTTGTGTAGTGTGACCCGGAGGGAACATCCAGGTGGCAGTGCCCAGTAAGCGTGGGAACGTTCTGGGCGAGTTGCTTGCCCAGAACTGTGGCTGTGACCCGTGGGAACATTCTGGGTGAGCTGCTCGCTCAGAAAGTTCCCACGCTATCCCGTGCGTGCGTGTACACAATGCACAAAGGCAACAACAAGGCAACAGTCAAAGAATAAAAGGGGGTAAAGTAGGTGGGGAGTCCGGGGCACCCTAAGGCAGGGTGCTGAACCCTGACAGTTAGCAAAGGTGGTCCCACTTCAGGTATGGGGAAATGGCCCACTTGATCATCCATCAGTGCATGGGTTGGGTATATCACTAAGGTAATGTGGGGCCTGTTCATTGGCCAAGCTTGTGAGGCATTGTTTACAGAGGGGTCAGTTTTTTTTTCGTGGGAATATACCGTGTGAAAGTGCAATCCCACCCCCCCACGGCCACCCCGTGAGAAATGGCCGCCCTGTGGGATCCGTGCAACATCAGATCCAAATGTATATCTCATCCGTGCAATGTGTGTGCCACAAAATATTGTGGCAACACTTGCAGTGTTGTATGTTAATAAATACATAATAATCATAATAATCATTTAAACTATATATTTATTAACTTTGAGGGAAACTTAGGCTCTATGTAGCATTTTAACCTTAAGTGATATTGTGGCTGTGCTACATGTTAGAATGGGCAGATTCGGACGACTCCGGAGTGGAATCGGAGACTTAGCGTGGAAGGACCTCGGCCTCAGCGACTCGGGCGGAGCGCTGTGCCATTGCTGGTTGTCCTAGGGGTCCCTAATTTCGGATCTAGCAGAGGGAAAGTCTCTTGGGGGGAATTCATGTCGATTTCGGACTAAACCAAAACGAGTATGTACAAGCGCCGATATATATAATGGAAGGGGCAAAAGCACAAGGAGAACAAAGGGTAACCGAATCGGAATGAAGACGTCCGAACGGGAACAAAGGGTAGAAGGAGCGGAGCGGTACCAAAGGTCATAAGGCAGGACCTGTGATACGTCCGAAAGGAGGTAGGGAGGGCGAGGCCCAGAGGGGCAGGAGGATGAGGGGAAGTGGGGATGATGACTAACTGGCTAGAATAGGAAGAAGCAGTAGTCCAAATAGGGATGAGGGGAAAACGCGAGAAATACATTACAAGCGGCGAGAGTGCCGAAGGCGATCCACGAAGCTCGGGGGTTGCGGAGCTTACGGAGGTTACGGAGGCGGGGTTGAAAGTCCGAGGGATATTGGCAAACATAATTAAATGGAATGAGCTAACCAATACAATGTGTATAAGTGGAGGTGGGGTCAAAGTCCGAGGTCGGAGCTAAGACCGGAGGTTCCGGAGACGGAGACGTGAATGGGATTCCGGAGCGGAGGTGTAAGGCCGGTTGGGGTGCCGGCCTTGGTGACTCCTCAATCCTCAGGCTGTCGATAACGTAGACTGTATGGAGCTAGTATTCGACAGGGGGGGAGGAGAAGAGCAAAGCCCCTTTCCCCGACCCCGGACACTATATATATATACAGTTGTTTTACATTATTTATTACGAAGAGTATTAAAGAATAAAAGAATAACTGAGATGCGCACAAAGCGTGCATCATCCCATCCCTGTCCATCCCTTACACTCTCCCCTTAGAACAACCTATAGGTTCTCCCCTTAGAGCAACCAATAGGTTTTCTCAAATGACTCCGGAGGGAATGCACCAAGATCAACACAGGTGCTTGGAGACCGAGGGCGCGCACAGACTCGGTGACGCGCAGAATCCATGGGAGTTTGTGGGCAGGCAGGATGTAGAAATGGGGGGGCCAGTGAAGGCAGAAGCGGAGGTGAGGAATTGATGAGTGTATCGACACCGAAAGCGGAAATGCAATCGGATTGGAGGGAAGTGTCGCGGGGCACATCAATGTTGGAGCCAATGCAGTGCACAGCATGCATTGGAGGAAAGGAGCAGCCCATCGATCTTCGAGGTGGCAACAGGAGCGTGGTGTGCCGGCACAAGGAATGATCGCCTCAGACGGATGCGGGAAGACGATGGGTTAGGCGCCCAGAGCGCACAGAACCACGGCAGCAGGTGGCAGACCTGCGATACGCAGCGTGTAGCCGGACACGATGCAGCCAATGGTAAATTAATGTCGACAGGCGCGTCGACAGCGAAGATGACAACGCGTTATGGAGCAGACGCGTTGGAGCCGGGGTAGAGTAACATCGACATTCTAGGCGACAGCACAGCAGAAATTCGACGCGGTTGGCAGCAAGCGCGTCGATATTGGACGACATAGAGTCGGACGGCGCTTATTCTGGCCTCGACAACGACAATGACGAATCGGGGTCGTTGAACTCAGTATCGAAGGCAGTGGAAGGCCGAAGTCAAAAGGGGTCGCCATAGTCGCAGAATCGTGTGGCTGGGGCGGGGAATGAGTCGACGTGGCCGGCAGGAAATAGGAAATATGAAGTGTGAACCGTAGCCGGCGATGCGTTGGCATCAGCACTCAGCGTTGGTTCAGGTGGAGGATGGATGGTGGAGGCCGCACAATCGACAATGTGTCGATGTGGCAAGGGCGTCTCCAGGACGCGAGATACAGATTGACGAGTTTGTCAGCAGAGATCTACCCGCGAGGGTGATCATCTGCGACAGTCGCAGGTTGAGACCGCGAATAATCGTATCCATCGCGTGTATATACATCGCTTCTTCAATTCAAGCGCGTCCAGGCAAGTCCCAGTAGTCCGCGAGGACTAGAGAGAGGATCGTCCCAAGGGAGATCGCGACCGTCGAGCTGATACAACGTTGGTTTTTTTGAGTCGTGTTCGTCTGAGTCGCGTTACGTGTAGTTGGTACGGCCTAGACGACGAAAACACGCATCTGGAATGTCGTCAACGCGTGAGTTTCACGTTGAGGAATGGTCAGAGAGTGCGTGTGCGCGAATATCTAAGCGCGCGCGCGAATTTCGTGTATGTCCCCCAGAAAAAGCGCGTGGATTGGCGTTAAGAACACATGTAGGCGTGTTAAGCATGCGAGGTCGACCTAGAGAACTTGGTTGTAAGCCAGAGGTGCCTTGAGAGCGCGAATCGTGAGAGAGAAGCGAGTCGGGAGCGCGGCAGTGCACGTCGGGCGCACGCGCGCGTCAGTTGGGCGTGTGAAACTAGCCCAATGAGTCTAAAAAAGTGTAAGGCCGGTTGGGGTGCCGGCCTTGGTGACTCCTCAATCCTCAGGCTGTCGATAACGTAGACTGTATGGAGCTAGTATTCGACAGGGGGGAGGAGAAGAGCAAAGCCCCTTTCCCCGACCCCGGACACTATATATATATACAGTTGTTTTACATTATTTATTACGAAGAGTATTAAAGAATAAAAGAATAACTGAGATGCACGCAAAGCGCGCATCATCCCATCCCTGTCCATCCCTTACAGGAGGTCCGGAGTCAGGAGCTTAGGTTTTGCGTACTCGTCTGGAAGGTGTCGAGGTTGGGGTCGGACCCGGAATGTTCCGGAGTCGGACCAAAGGTGGTGTCCGAGCCGGAGGTGGGATAACCTCTTGGGAGTCAGCAAGGAGGAGGTGACGGAAGGGAAGTAGGACTCCAGAAGTCAGGTTCGGAGTTCCGGGAGCCTGGAGCGGTGAAGGAGCGGAACTGAGAGTGCAGTTTTCCCTGTTCCTGGTTGTGGGGGAGTGTACCTGTTGAGTACGGTGCTGTGTTAGTGTTTTGGTTGCTTTTTCAACAGTTTAGTATGCTATAGAAAAATCAAACAATCAAACACCCTGCGGAGCTGTTCAAATAATTCTGTCTGTCTGAGCCGACTCTGGTCTGTTCAGCTCTCAGTCAGAATTCACCTAATTCTACCACTTTTTAGTTTAGGAAGTGATTACTCCTATGTGTGGAGAGATACTACTATTTTCTCCCTTCACACTGTCACTTTTTGTTCAGTAGTAACAAACTGCTTCTAAGTGTCTTACTTAGATGCCTATAAATCTCCTATCTCACTTATCACACTGTTGTTGCCTTTTGTACAGTGGCAA